GACAGACACGTCATTGGTTTCTCACAACGCGTTTAAAAGTGTCTGTCAATAGCAACGCACTAAACGCTATGTGTTTGTCGTGACGTCACGCCTGAGAGTAAGAGTCAGTCATTGCAGCGACTGATGGACTGATTGTGTGATTGCATTGAATGCACGACTACTTCATCACTAGTGATATCAACACCAATACAAGCGATCGCAACACCAGTTACCACACAATTATCATCACCGCCGCCGCTGATACCCAATCGTGTGATCATCATAACCACCGATCCCTGTGGCCAATCGCCCACACAATTACTCCGTCACCACCAGTGGTATACCACACGAGAGCACCACTTCCTCGAGTGTCTCCTCCGCCCCGAAGTAGAGCTGATCCGCGATGTCGACGCCCGCCCGCAGACGACTGATGCGCGACTTCAAGCGCCTCCAGGAGGACCCGCCCGCCGGAGTGAGCGGCGCGCCCACAGACAACAACATCATGATCTGGAACGCCGTCATCTTCGGGTACAGTAGTCCGCCAGTAGATCCCGTGATTTGTTTGTGTGTCCACTGATGAGACACATGTGAATGTGTTGTCTGTCTGGGTGTGTGTGTGAGTGGTGTATGAGTTGTGGTGATGTAGTGATCGTTGCATCAGTCCATGAGTTGATTTAATTGTCTGTTGTTGTCATCAGTAGTGACACCAAAACGGGTGAATGTTTTCCGTATGAGTTGTCGTGTGATCTTAGGCTCAGTGCATGCGGTGATTGAATTGGTATTTAGGTGTCCATCGATGGCGCACACATGCCAGGATGTGTTATGTTATGTTCAGTGTGTATGGGTTTGGGGAACGCCTTGCGGGTGATGTATATGTATCTAATGGTTTCTGTGATGTCTACGACAGCCCCCGGGACACGCCCTTCGAGGACGGGACCTTCAAACTGACCCTCGAGTTCACCGAAGAATACCCGAACAAACCGCCGACCGTGCGGTTCGTGTCGAAGATGTTTCACCCGAATGGTGAGACAATGATCACTGAATGATGTCTTAATATGTCTTATATTTCTATATAAAACTAATGTATTGTCTGAATGTGTGGTATATATAGTCTACGCGGACGGCTCCATATGTCTGGACATACTCCAGAACCGCTGGTCGCCCACGTATGACGTGTCGGCGATCCTGACGTCCATACAGTCCCTACTGGACGAGCCGAACCCGAACAGCCCGGCCAACAGCCTGGCCGCCCAGTTGTATCAGGAGAACCGCCGCGAGTATGAGAAGCGCGTGGCGGCGATCGTCGAGCAGAGTT